AGCTACTCCCATGTGAGCTGCACTCCTCCGACGGCAAACTTAGAATGTGACTTTATTAAATTACTCTGTTTCAGCCCGTGACAAGAACAAGCAGTGAAAACATTCTCATACTACAACCACCGATGTCCTTTTGCGCCAGTATGCAGAAAACAACTCACAAAACATTATGGGTAGTTTCAGCGTACGCGGAAAACCAAACATTACAAGCACGGGGCCAATTGTGTGAGTTCATCTCGGCTGTGCGCCCTTCGCTTCTCCGTGTCACTCTGCATTAAGCCCAGAGACGCAGCTGCAGTGTCCACAGAGCGTTATGAGGCAGAGAAGAGGGTATAAATAACAAGACAAAGAGAGGGCCGCTGACAGGCCTCAAGCAGGGAGTGGACATTAAGGACGCACATGGATATTAAGATAAATTACATGTTTTTATAGTGTCATTTAAAAGGTGCACCATGTGAGTTTTCGGATTGGGAGATCACCATGAAGAGGTTATTGTAGGGCTGTAGTCGAAGAATAAAAAGCTTGGTTGCAGGCCCGTCGACAGAAATTTTAAGACCCAACGCAAGAAGCTTTAGGTGGGCCCCTCTTATATAAATTAAATGAGAAGAGAGTCCAATTCTGGGCGACTAAAACTCTGGCGTCCGGGACAAAAGATCCTTTGTCCTTCCTTGTTTACTGCCTTGTTTGGTTGACTAAAGAAATGCTCTACCAATCGATTATTTGCGAAAAAGTGGAAAATGTTTATTTAACTGTTGAAGAACACGTAGTGTGCATCTGCTGTATTGATAAACAAATAATCTGTCTCAGAGTCCTGCACAGGGCAAATAGTTGCTGAAACGGGCGGGTTTTAACGTTCTGGAATTTTATGGGTTGATTAACCATGGGTGGGTCAGGTGAATCAAATGAACGATGAACAGGAGAAAAATGCTTGACGCTCGTCCATTGCCCTGAAAAAAAGTGCCATTTCCCGATCATTTCCTGGAACAAGGGCAGACCAGGCTGAGAGAGACTTTAGTGTATTTACTACATAAAACCATTAGTGGAGGTGATCAGCTCAGCACCTGCGCTCCTGGTTTAGACCTGGTTTAGACCTGGTTTAGACCTGGCGATTGCCTCTGCGGTTGCGGCGTATATATATTTATAATCTGCTAATGACATGGCGTAGGTTCAGTCCTGGTTTAGTCCTTGGTTTAGTCCTGGTTCAGTCCTGGTTCAGTCCTGGTTCAGTCCTGGTTCAGTCCTGGTTCAGTCTTGGACTCCGCGGTTGTCGAACTAATGGTCTGACCCCGATTTATCACGGGCAAGGGCGGGTAATGGATGGAATGGATGCAACGGACCAGAGCAGGTGCGGATTTAACTTTGTTATAATCAAGGGTTAACATTAAATGTGGTGCTGTACTGTGTGGGTGCAGGTGGGTGCGGGTCTCCAAAAATGGACCTGCGCAGGACTCTCATCATTATCTTAGAATTTGCACATTTTAAATCACAATATTCATTTAAAACTACTTAATAAAAGAAACAACAACAAGTTAGAAAACTGTGGCGCTCAAACGGAGCTGACAGCGTTGTAAATGTAATCACAACAAAGAATAGCTGATTTTTTTTTTCATTTGTACCAGAATGACTATGCAATATGACGTCCACAATACAACTTCGAGAGGGTCAACGAGAAATCGAAACACAACATGGTTAAAAGCTCTGAAAAATCGATTGTGCATAATGGGTTTGCTTTAAGTATCTATATATATGATCCAAACTGACCTGACAGGAGTTCAAGCAAAGCCAAATATTTAAACAGAAAATAGGAACCTGTATTTATGTAAAAAGGGAAACTCATGATTCACTCCCACATATTTCACTAACTCATTCCATCTCTTGTCCCATAGAAATCCTTATAATGTACATATTTATATATATATATATATATATATATATATATATATATATATATATATATATATATATATATATATATATATATATATATATATATATATATATATATATATATATATATTTATTTATTTTTTTACAATATCGTAAAATATACATACACATACATATTTATAAATATAAATCAGAAAGTCATAAATGCACCAACAAGCCTTCATTGTATCTCTGAAATTGTTTGTATATTCTAGAGTCCAATAGAGCCATTGTTCTCTTAGAGTATTATTTCATTTCTTAACACATAGATCTATCTAAAGGCATTCAGTAATACAGCTAGTCCAGTACAGTACAGTACGAGGCAGATTGTTGGCATGTTGGAGGTGGGTTTAAAGCCAAAACACACTTTCCTACTCCCCTTTAAATCAACTTCCTCTTTCTGTTATCTGTAACATAATACCACATGTGAATATAGCAAACCAACATAAAGCAATGCAATAGAACTTTTCTGTATTTTTGCTTATAAATTATAAATGTAATGTTAGTTGAATTATTAAATTTTCTTTCCATTCTTTCCATCTTTGGTTGTTGATTAGTCTGTATAATGGCATTTAAAAGGTGCATTTTGTAACTTTTCTGGTTTCTCTCCAGCGACTAGGTCAGGAATCGCTATACACTAGACGGTTTGCAAGAACCCCGGAAGTTGTAGAACGCGCACCAGCCAATCAGAGAAGAGCTGTGAAGTCATGATGTCAGACTCAAGGGCCTGTCTGGGTCCCTTTTGTGGTACAGCACAACAGTAAAAAAAAGTGGTCGATATGAATGTAGATGAAGACAGACATTCTGTGTTGGCAACAATTCCCGAGATCAAGGATTTAAAGCCGGAACAAACAGAATATATCACGACCAAATAGCAGTGATTGGTTAAATAAAAAAAATTACCCGCTTACCGCCTACAAATTCTAACGCTGCAAGGTCAGACGGTTTCCACGAAGTGAAACCAGCTGATGAATCAGGCTACAGTATCCCACCATGGAGCCTGGAATGTTCCACAGTATGACGTTACACTTATTTATCTGTACGGAGGCAGCAGGAGACACCACAGGGCCCAGATGAATGACAGATTTGTGGAAATTTAAGCCCACTCACAGTAAGAAAGTTTTTAAGTCAACAAAAACCCATGTTATTGAGTAAATGCAAGATGGATATATTTAATGCCATACCGGGAGATTCTAGACAAAGCAACAACATCTCCATGGAGAAAAGCATTTGACAGACCCTCCACCAGAAAAGTTACACAATGCACCTTTAAATTACCCATAACAAGACCCAATTTTGTTTAAACCACCATAGCCATCTTACACTGTGCATGTGCATATATATGATCGCTGCTTGCTATATTACAGGCCTACCACCTTACATCTGGATCTGTGCCGCATTTATAGTGCATGATTATTCCTCCCTCAAGGGAAATAACCCCATCTGTAGATTTAATGAAAAATACTCCACATATGACCTTCACTATCAAATAATAAGTCAGCATTTTCTCACGCCAGCCTCGGAGCATTTGGACGTGGTTATGTAAATCACTGTTCAGCTGTCACTTCACTACACACTGACACAGAACAATCACAGCCTATTCAACCTTAAAGGGACGCGAACTGCTCATGTGCAAAGGATGAGACACAACAAGGCACTGCGCTCGAAAACAACGCTGGCTTTAAATATGGATTATGTTGCTTATATTTCTATTTAATTCATTCACGATACAAAGCACATAGTCCGAGTAAGTTCATTTATTTACATGTGATTTCTGGGAGATGACGCACACAGGATGTCACTGGCTGTCTCCATGCTGACTTGCATATTTTTTCACATTCTTATTCTTACAGTTAAGAGTCAAGTGCAGAGCTGACCATTACTTCCTCTGTTATGATGTAAATTGCTCAGATGAAGACGCTAAACATCACCTGCTTTGTTTAATGTTATTTTAAGCAGCTCGGATGGGTTACCAGTTCTAATTTCATTCAAGATAATTAATAGGGTTGTTATTTCTGTGGGCGACATTTTTACATATTTTAGACTGTAGTAGGTTATACACACAAGACTTTTTTTGAAAAAATAAGTAACATAAGTACAGTATTTTTTCAGACTATACATCTCACTTTTTTTCATGGTTTGGGTCGTCCTGCGACTTATACTCCGGTGCAACTTAAATGTTAAAATTTTCACACTGACAGCCGCAAGAGGGCACTCTAGGCTTGTGTGCTCCTGTACCAATGTCACTTCGCTCTACTGCGCATGTCGGCTGTAGAAGAAAGAGAAAGAGCCACTGTCCTGTCTTGTATCATGTCAGTCGATCTCACCATTACTGCTGTACCACTGACAATTTAAAACTTAAACAACTGAAACAACCGAAACCATCCTGTCAGAATTCAGAAAGGCCAAAATAATTCTAACTTGAACTGATGCTGAGTCTGACGACAGCTACGCAGAAGATGAAATGGCACTCTGTTTACTTCTGTTTGGAGATCGCTTGGAGTTGCTCAGAAGTGACCCCAAGGATACAGAATTCAATGGATTTAGTGATTTGGAGTGAGATGGAGAGTTTGGTAAACTTGTTCTGTTCTGTTGTTTATGCTATAGTTATTTGAAGAACTGTTCATATGTGACGTTAACAGTCTGTTGTTTTCTCTCCTATTCTTATTACTAGAACTTGACTTTCAAGGTGAAATGTCAGTTCCTGGTCTGATTTTATAAAGTATATTTCCCCCCAAAAGTTACTTATAGTCCGGTGCGACTTATACATGTTTTTTTCTTCTTCATTATGCATTTTTGGCTGGTGCGACTTATACTCCAGAGCAACTTATAGTCTGAAAAATACGGTACAGCCTCTGTTATTTATCAGCTGCAACCACTTCAATCTTCTACAACAAATCCACCATTAAGCTGTAGTGTTTTTACAAAGTGAAGTCATTCGATACAAGACACACACTCACTTCCTGATCTATTATGCCTGAAATAGCTTGAAGAACACATTTAACCTGATCTGAACTCCTAATGTTCCCCTTCAAGTGTAATATCAGGCTGTAGTACTGTGTAATACTCAGGCTCACCTTGCACCACGCCCCAGGGGTACTGTCGCGCCCGCACAGTTTTGTTCCCCACTTTGACCTCCTCCACGCTCCCCACCACGGCGAATGGCAGATGAGCCTGGGGCAAAGAGAGAAGGGGGAGAAAAGTCAACTTCAGGTTCAGATAGTGCAGGTGCATTTAAAGAAAAAAGTTGCAGAAGAGCTTGATGAATCTAATGCAGTATTTAGAGACAGAAATGTAAGCTGTATAGTGTGTACAATTACTGCTTGTACTGTATCTTATATTTTGTTTGCTCCCATTATTTAAAAAAACATAGTCTATGAACTGCCTGGCAAATGAAGAATGAAATCTCTTTGTATTTTTTACCAGATAGATATCAGTCTGGACCCACCGCCCTCTGTCACGTCTCGATCCAGAACGAAACATGATCGCGCAAACAGATTCCTTTTCTTCAGTGAAGCATGAAGCAGCTCATTGGTCACCCATCATTTACAAACCAAATCAAAATAAGTTTAGTGCTTCCCTCATTGACTCTGCCTGTGATATCTTTTTCCTTCGTTTTTTCCTCGTAATTAGCCAATCGTGGACACAGAGGCGTGCCTGGCTAATCCGCCTGTCAGTCATGGGCATCTGAACGTAAAGTTGTAAAGTATTATGACCCAAATCTAATTTCTTCACCCCTATGTGACCTTTATCTGATCTTTTAATGACAGCCTGAACGACACAGATCCGATTTTTTTCAAATGTGACCCAGGCCACTTGGATATGTGCTCCTAAAACCGATACATATCCGATCTTTTGACACGTGACTTCAGTCTGAATGGTAAGGTCGCATTCATCCCACCTACACGTCAGGCTCGGAGTCTTGTCAATGAAGAGAAAGTGAGATTAGTGAATTAATTAATATTTGGGGGGATCGCTGTATTCAGGCCAAACTGGAGGGGGTCTTACTGGAACCGGGCGGTTTTTGAAATGATTGCCAAAGAAATGACAGAGTGTGGCTACAGGCGGTCCTGGCTCCAATGTCAATGAAAAATAAAGAGCGTGCGAGCCAAACACATGGAGGCTAAAGACTCAAACAAAGCGGTCGTGGACATGTGACCTGCCCATTTTACGAACAACTGGACTGCATTTTGGAGACTTCCATAAACACTGAGCACACTCTCGGCTTGTGACATCGTCGTGTCCTCCAATGCGCATGTGAGACACTTTTGGGGCATTTAAAGTTCACACTGGAGATCACAAACAAGTCGCTTTTAATTGGAAATGTGAACGACCTCGCAAGAAAATCAGATTTCACAAAAAAATTGCTAAACATTAAAATGCAAAGAGAAAAAAGTGGCATGCTTAAGCTGACACTTGCACGTTTTTGCAAATTGTTCAAATTCTACTACAAATTCTCATTCTGTACAATTTGAAACATAATTTACATAAAGCTTATAACAAAAAACATTATATTGGGTATTTAAACTTGACTTGAGGGGAGGTTTGTTAGGGAAAATGTATTATTATGCAAACATTTTATTTATTTATTTATTATTATTTTATTTTTATTTTTTCCAGTTTGCTGTAAAAAATATCTTAAGTTTTATTTTATTTGCAAAAAATATATAATCTTGGTAATGGTTTTATCAATGGTCCATCTCATTGCCGAGGTGTTCGACTATAATCCATTGTTGCTAATCTCCTGGTTTTACTTATGTTAAAACACAATGACTAGGTTTAAATCTGCTCTTTATCTCAGTATAAAATAAACATGAAAAACTTAAGTCATCATCCTTATCTTTCTGCAACAGACCACCCAAAGCACAGCTACATCTCCATAAGAAACCAGCCATTTCCTCCTTTACTGTGGCTCAGCTGGGGCTACGAGGCCATTAGCTTTGAGTGAGTAAACCCACACGTTGTTATTGCTCCGTGTGGTGTGTTTTTGCGCCTGGTTAAGATCGGCAGTGTGAAGCATCATGGGAAAAAACATGCCCCTCGCTCAACCTCAAAAATTAGGAGGCGAGTTGGAACCAGCTGGAGAGGGAGAGAGGGTGAGAGAGGAGCTGACGTAAAAGGCCAAGAATAGACTGGACACGTTACACGGGCTGGAAGAGGGAGCGTTTTAAAAGGGCTTTGTGCATTTGTGTGGATGTGAGTGCTAAATATACATATGTGCTAGAAAATATAGAAATGAAACGTTTAAATGTGGTTAACTGCATTTGTATAGAAGCATTATTCTGAAGGCAGCAAAAACATTCTGCATAGCCAATACACGCTAATCTTAAGACACTGTACCTGATTTTTACCATGTTAACACGAAAAACAGAACTAGTTATTCGGTAATGCAATAACTAGCATGCCAACGTGCACTTTATGATTATCGAACAATAAAAAGCTTTCCAATTAGATGCAGATAGCACACAATGACTTATTTTGAAGTGCTGCTTACAATATATTAGTTTTAGGGATGCACAGACCCAGCTTTTTCAGTTCTGATATCGAGAAGATACATTAAAAGGACAGTTCGGAATTTTGGACTTAGGGTCTCATTTCTAGTGAGCCAGCAAATGAAGCCCTATTATTACACCTGACTGTCAGTATTAATGTCTGTGTCGATAGAACAATTTTAGAAGTAAAACCAATCTTGCATTTGAAGGATTTATATCTGAGCAGCAGCAGCGAGTTGTACTTCCTGATTGAAAGCTTGGCAGCTGCGGAGTGATATATGAGAAAATAGTCCCTCAACATGCGACGATTCATGCAATGCAAAGTTAGTTTTATTTCCAACATTATTCTATCAACACAGACATTTACATGGACAGTATGACGTAATAATAGATTTGTTTCAGGTGTTTTGTGGAGTGGGTAAGACTGTTTTTAGTGGCAGAATAACTATAGCCATTGACATGCACTAGCCTAGCACCAGCGACCTCTGCAAATACAAGGACTAGATGGAATATTTCAAAAAGTGTCTCCACACATCTCCAACACTCTGGCTCACTAGGAAATGAGGCCCTATGTCCAAAATTCTGGACTGTCCCTTTAAGTATCTGCCAATACCAAATATCATCCAATACAAGGACAGAAAATGGCATTTGTATCTTGAAATAAAAGTGTTTTAAGGAAAGGAAGTGTTATGCAACTGTTATTTATACAAATCAGCTCCATATGAATCAAAGTTGAACCATTATGAGACATTTTAGGCCAGAATCAGTCTGAAAATATTTTTATTATATCCAGTTAAAAGTATAGCCAGAACATCAGGCTGAACAGATATCAGGGAACTCACACCTGGTCCAGCAAATGTTTCAGTATCTGTGTAGATTTTTGGTGCCATTATCAATATTTTTGCTAATCTGTATTGGAGTAAAAAAAACATAAATGCTGAAATACATGGGGGAAAAATCAGGTGCAGTGTCTTTAAGTGCATGTAATTATATCTTAGGGGAACTCTATATAAGCAAATAGTTTTTTTTTAGCATCTTGATAATATCTTGCGGGTATATATCGAAGTTTATAGTAAAGCGTGGTTCAGAAAGAAAATAGTAAAGTACAAAAGTGCAAACATGTTTAAGATAACAATTGCTTATAACTTGTATGAGCTTTCTTTGCATATTTTTTGTAGTTTTGTGATATATATATAAATAAGTAGTGATATGTTTTGATCCTTCCAAATAACAACTTTAATTTTAACCATAGAAGATTTAGCCCCTCCAAATGTCTGTGGTACAGCAGTGTTGAGAGAGTGTCACTTACATTCATGGAGGCGTTGATTTCGCTGACCGTCTCATCGTCTGTGGGAAACTGATAAATCTGGACTCCGTTGGACACCAGTTCACTCATGATCTTTATTTTGAATTTGTGCAGCTCACTTTTGGAGATTGTGTCCGCTTTGGCAATGATTGGAATGATGTTCACCTAAAACAAGCAACAACAAACAACAAACTACATTAGTAAGCTCTCAAACTACACATTCATTTTTTGTTTTGTTTTAATAGAAGCACTGTAATTGTGTGGTTGGTGTTTTAGGTTAACAAGGATTTCTGCTGATAGGACAAAACATCTGTTAAAGCCACAGTATGTAACCTTTTAGCCAAAAATAGACATTCAAAGCATGTTTTTTTCATATTGGCTGTGTTTACAGCACTGAACAAAACTAGTGGGCTCTGAGGGGGCTTGAATGTTTCATGGAAATCTTGTTCTTGTATTATAATCTTCAACATTATGGCATAAAATTTGCCTGTCTCTAGGGAGAATGTTCCAAAGTATGGTTTTAAGTTTATATTTTCAGACATGCCACCCCCAAAAGTAAACTGTACCTTATGTGTAATTTTAATTTAATTGAATCTCTGAAATGTAAAATTAATCAAGATTTCTGAAAAAGCCGTTTGTTTGGATGATTTATATTCTCATTCAGGCCAGGCTGGTTACGTTTGTGCAAAAATTTTGCATGCAAATGTAAAGATTAATGCTTTCTATATTTTGTATCGCATTTGTAGCAAGCCATTACTTAAGCAAACTTTATTACCAAACAAGAAAAATGACGTAGATTAAGAAGTACTTTTCAGCAAAATTAACCACTGAAATGGCGAAGCTTAAAATGCAAAATACATGAATTGTGCAACAGCAGCAATCCTAATATTTTACAACACTTTTAATGAACTTGTCTGTCCATGAGTTTCAGAATGATGAAAAATGTGGCCAGTTGCCATAGTGATTCACAAAACAAAATATTATATCTTTATAATGGGAAACGTCCTCAAAATGTTGCATAAAACAGGAAGCTGAAAACCATGAATATGCAACAACTAAAATCTCTTCGGTTTAAATTCTGATTTAGTTAAGCCTGTATGAGGAAACAATATAATAAACAACTGAAACCAATGTAATGCAATCAGACCTCAATTCAGGGCCTAAGTAAAAAAAAATAAAGCCATCTTAATCAGAGCTTGGAGGAAGAAGCAGCACAAAACAAAACACATTTAATTATAAAAACAAACTCAATCAGCAGCAGATGTTGAAAAGCAAACAGCAGACAGAGATGTGTGCGAGACAAGATAAATACATTTAAATCAATCGACATCTCCCCCATGCAGCTCTCAAATGACTCACGGCGAGGCTAATTGTATCCTCATCATACTTTATAGGCTCATTAATTAACAGCAGGGTAGCTATCTTTAAATCCTCAAAGGTCATTAATCTTAGTTACACTGGGAGAAGTATTGCGAGTAATGGTGTGGGCAGAGGGGAGACGGATTGGTCAGTTTACAGCGAGGAGAAGGCACATTTGTCATAAACCTTGGTCCATAATTCCTTGGAGTTTGTTGTTTACCTAGAATATGCAAATATCTGACTTGAAAACTACTGCTTCATGAAATCACAGATGGAATGCAGCATTTTGAGCTTTGGAGATGTAGACAGAGTAACAAACCAGGATAACTCAAACATGTGTGATTGAAAAAAAAAAACACAACTGGTATGTTTTTAAGATGGTACAGTAACAACATTATAACATGGTTTAAAGCTCAGACTAGTCATTTTTATATTACATAGGACCTTTAAGTACAAATAAGAGTAGGTAACAAAACTGTGTCTTTTGATAGTGATGCACTAATCGAGCTTTTTCAGTTACAATATCAATGGCTACCAGTGGAGAGTGCGCAAATGTGTTATGTAGCTGTTATGTATTTCCTCTAGTAATTGCTTCCCAAAGACTGAGTCACAACCCTCAGGTGGGTCGCCTTGTTACGATCTGCACGTAGATCTGCAATACACATATATATACATCTCCGCTTCTAACTTCTTCTCTCCATGCACGGAATCCCCTCCTGCTCCCGCTCCTCACTTTTTTGGCAGCACCAACTTGCCTAACCAATTTTCTGTGGGAAACACTTATTACTGTTTTTCACTGTTTAAAACTTGAGTAATATTATTTGTTCAGAGAGACAAGAATTTATGTTGTGATTTATGAATAATTTCTACTGACTTGGGTCATGAAGGTTTGTGCCTTGTAAAATATGGGTCCCTAGAAAAAAAGTTTGGGAAAAGCTGCTCTAGTAACTACTGAACAACTTCAACAAATTTGGTATATGGTTTTTCTGGGTCAACTATCACCAGTAAATAGTCTTATTACATCGCTTTAAATGTCAGCCAGGATATATACTGAACTGATATTTGGAAGCTGATCTGATCCAGCAGTTTTTTTCTTTATCCACACCAATATCCGATACCAGCCTCAGATAGGGATGGCACGATATGGATCTCACAGTACGATACTTGTTGCGATATTTTGTGAAAAGCTAACAAAATTGTGAATATGCTGCTTTTCTGTCATAATTTAAATAATGAAGATGTACAAGTGCTTAATAAGAGTTATTTCATCATGTAGATTGGACTGAAACAGAGCAAAGGATCACGGTATTTGTAGTTCTCTCTGTTCTTTCACCAGAACAATGAAGAAATGTGAAATTTGATAAATTGTGATGGCCCGCAGTATTATTTTAAGACTTTTGACAATATGATATCACGATATTTCGGTTATTGTTACATCCCTAGTGTTAGTACCAGTATTCTTTGTCTTCAACCGTGTGACAAATTGTAGACGTGTACAACACACTACTTAGAACAAACTCAAGTGGCCACACTTCCACTTACCCCCAAAGCTCATTATTAGCTATAAAATTAGCTTTCTTTACTCTTATCTCTTTTCCTGCCTCTACAGACCACCCCTCCTCATGTAGGTCCCTCAATCATTCATGCAGAAAGGACAGGCTCCAAAACAGTTTCAAACAAAAACACCATTGTTTCAGAGTCAACACCAGAATACACTGGGGAAACTAGGGTCTGTTTGTCTGCTTTTAATGTCACAGTAGTCTGATTTATTATCTTAAAAGTGCACTATGTAACTTTTTGGTTGGGGGTCCATCACCTGCTTGTTTCTATGGATCATTGCTTTGCCTGGAATGTTCCACAGTATGTCATTAAACAGCTCTACCTTACATTTATTCAATTACAGGCGAATTTAAAGCTCAGAAATACCAAGAAAAACAGGCATTCTGACTGTGAGCAGGGTCACCTCTCCACAGATCTGACCTGGAACTTAGTCTGGTTTGGTCTCCATGAAGATAGAAAGGTTTAACACCATACTGTGAAACATTCCAGTTACACAGTGCACCTTTAAAGATGTACTATGTAACATTTCTAGTGTCGAATGCCTGCTTCTCTCCATGAATATATTACTGCTTTGCTTCAAACGTTCCACAGGTGTTTTTATGGCTAAAATTGCTTGAAAATTATGTATTTCTTAGTGTGAGCAGGGTTACCTCTCCACAGATATGACCTGTAACAAGGCCTGGAAATTAAACTGTCAAACTAACACATGAATCAAATGAAGGAGTCACAGAAGAGGACATGGAGACTAGGGTTGTTGAAAGACTTAAATCGTAAAACGGATACTAATTGATACTAAAACTAGACATTCTTTTAAGCAGGCATCGATACTAAAAAAGTCACATTCACAGGACAAAAATGAACCTTTCTTGAATGTCTTTAGAATGATCTTGAGCTGTATCAGAACAAGTATAAGAGCATAGACTCATGGACCACTATGGAACCTACTTGGACCACTGAGGAACTACATAGATATTAAACCAGAAGGCAATATAAAAGAAAGTACTACAATTGATGTTGAAAATCACATTCTATTGTCCAAAGAAAGCCATTTGTTTAACAGACTTATGCACATTGTAGTATGCAAATGTGTTTTACTTTAAATGCTATAAAGGTCACTTGGCAAATTTAGAAAGGAAAATGTCCACCTACTCAAGCTCAAAGTGTGTGTGTCTGTGTGTGTGCGCGTGCGTGCGTGTGCGTGCGTGCGCGGTTAGGTCTATTGTTAAGTTCTGGGTTTGTAAGACACTGGTGAGAAGAAAATCATAGTTTACGAGGATCTGCTTTGACACCTTTTTCATCTGAGTAACCTCTCCCATTGTCTTTTGTTTGATGGATTTCCTTTGATATGGCTGGCCTGTCCCAACCATGACAATTTGTGGACAAGAAGCAACTATTTCACAATACAATTCTCTCATAGGAAACTCCAGTCATCTGATTATACGCCTTATAATACACAAGTCATATGAGCACAGACTTTGTTTTTCTTTTTGTTGAATCTTTTTTTTTTAGTTGTTGATACATTGGTCTTGTTTGGTTCTTTTATACTCCTTAAAGTCCTATATAGGTCATTCCACACCACATCTCTGAATGCCTCCGCTCAACAATCTCAGATTTGACTGAAAAAAATTCTAGGGGGTTCACACACTTTCCAATAAGAAAAGTCTCCCAACTCCTTATAGTTTTGTCATTAAAAAATAATTTGTCAACTCCCCCTGACCTGTTTTGAGCAGAGTTTTCCAAGAAGCCGCTTTCAGATTGCTGTATCTAAAAAACTATTTAATATCAGTCCTTCAAATTTTCAAGGGATAAAATTTGGCAAATGTTCTTATAGAATCTGGACTTTTACACATGTGCTTTTGGTTTATCACAGATTTCTGAGGGCTTGAATTTGTTCAAAAATTCTCCTCTTCAGATATGAGGGCATCTTTGAAGGACTCTGGAAAGTGCAATTTCAAAGACAGAGGATTGATATTGAACATACACCTTCCCACACATGCTGTGGACTTTGTATTTTAAAACTGACCCTCTGTAAAGAACGCTCTAGAAGATATTAAGTGGTAACAATTGAAAAAATAAATATGGTGCTATCTTTACCATGTTATACCAAAAAAATGACAGCACCTACCAACATAAAATGAACTGTTTTAGAAAGCAGAGATGTCCGTTTTTAACATATCCAAAATTTGTGATGGTATTCTGCCTTATTTTTGCAAAATGAATTTGCATGCATAGAATTCATGGACTAT